GTTGAGATTTTCAAACTTTTTAATTTGACTCAACGTTACTGGGAACTCAATGTCTTTAAAATTTAATACGTCCTTATAATACGGATAAGAGGATTTCAGACTCACATTACTTTCAGCAGGATGCAGAGCGGCCACCACTGCCCACGCGAAACATGCATTGCCCGTATCTTTGATGTTGACCACCGCTTTTTTCAATATAATTTCTCGCGGTAACTTTATATGACATCCCGCGTGCAACGGATTGTGCTTGTTTATATTAACTATTAAATTAAGTATGCGTAACAACTTCCACCCGCTGTCACGTTCCTGGAATTCTTCCAACGACGCTAAAGTAGACTCAACAACGCGTGAATCGTACCACTCGCGTAAATCTGTGCAACGAAAGAGTTCACTGTTTTTCGTAGCAACACTTTTATTTGCGCGTTTGTCACCCGATTCAAATTCGCCGTTAAAAATTGTGTTTATTTTAATGCTGTTATGCGTTTCCCTAAAATTCTGCACATGTTCAAACACAATTTCTCGCGCATCCTCGAGAAATTGTCTCGGATCAATGTGCTTGGAATTTATAACGGCCCCGGTCAGTATACGGCGTTTGAAAGCTGTATCTATCTCGCGCCACCTGAGCCTCGCGTCGAATTCTGCGCCCACATGTACGAATCGTCTACTCACCGAGTCTTTCAAACTTTCGAGTTCCGCGATATTATTAATCAGTGATTGTTGTAAACCGCTCAATAATCGTAGATGTTCATTATTTCGATTCTGTTCTTCAAGCAATTTGATGACCTCATCGACACGCTGTGTCCACGCGATAAAATCTCGCGTATTCAGCCGGCTGGCTTGCTCCCGGAGTTCTGCACATTCTCTTTGCTCCATATTCTTTTACAATCACTGAACTTTTCGAAGAGAAGTCACTCGGAACTTTTAGCTGCGCTACTGACAGAATATATCCCAGTCTTCTCTTTTTATATGTTACTAAGGATTGATAGCATTTGAAGTACGTCTCATTTTTTAGAATATACTTTATCAGTTGTTATATAGATAAGTAGATTCTATATTTTGAAAAAACCAATCAGCATCGTGGAAAAGCGATGACAAATAATTTCGAGAAATGCTATCGAGAAAAGTTATCGACTGTAATTGCACTTTTTTTAGATAGCAGGATTGTAAGATAACGATAAATCATGCAATCTTCTTAGATTAAGTGTACTTTTCCATGACTCGCTA